CCCCCCCCCCCCCCAGTTCTTAAATGATTTTGTCTTTGATTTTCTCTAGCTTTACTATGGTATGCCCAGTTGTGGATTTCACTTAGGTTCTAGAAAACTGAATTCTTGGCTATTATTTCTTCAAATACTGCTTTTGCCCTTGTTCTCTCTTTCTGGAATTCCAATTAAGCTTATCCCTTTTCACTGTATTCTATGTATCTATCCTTTGCAACGTTTAAATTAATCTAATGAAGAGGTTTTTAAAATACAAGTATTTTTTCAATTTTCAGGTTTTTTTGTTTTTAAACTTTATTATTGGAAACAACAAATCTCAAACAGATGAGAAAGTAGAATACCAATGAAATCATCAATCAGATTCAGTAGTTCTCAACTGCTGGCTGGTCTTGTTTCATCTAAAACCCCACCCGTTTTCCCATTCTACTGAAGTAAATACCGTTACATCTGTGAATATTTCAGCATTATCTTTTAAAGATAACTTTTTATAGAATTTATAAGATCTTTATAAAATATTCCAATTGACTCAGAAATGTTAATTTAAAAAAATACTTGTTTGAGATAGGGTCCAAACATTGTGATTGATACATCTCTTAAGCCTTTTTTTACCTTGAGGATTCCCTAGCATCTTTAATTTTTCCTTGCAGTGTATTTATTGAAGGGACTGGGGCATTGTCTGTAGAGTTTTCCACAGTCTGAATTTAGGTTCATGGCTTTTTTTTTTTTTTTTTTTTTTTTAAAGACAACTTCATAGGTGGCTTGGTGTATTCTTTCAAAATCAGGATCAGGATACACATAATGTTTGATTGTCTCGTGATGTAAACAGTTCTTGATAGATGCTGACTTAGATCCTTCAATTTATTAGGAATCTTAAAATGGTTATGTTCCTCTGTCATTCCTTCTTTATTAGCTGAAATACTTCAGTACAGAGACATTTCTTATCAACTACAGGTTCATATGTGAAAAACAGAGTAAGTGCTTGATTTTTATTCTTTTATTTACCACGTTTCAAAAATAATGAATTCATTCACTAGCATCCTCCAGTTCTGACCAATTAGGGTTTTTAGGTTTGTTTTATTCTCATTATAAACTAATGGATCTAAACATATCTTATACGTTTCCAAATATTTTTAGTTGATATAATATACTCTATAAGGATCATCTATATTAGGATTGGAAATTAATACATATTATTTCTGTTTTATTCTAGTTTGCATTTATGCCGGATCCTCAGTGAAAATAAAAGCCATGATAGTTCAACTTACAGAGGTAAGACTTTTAAAAGTATCATAGCTATTATTTTTGGTCTGGTCAACATTAATAGATGTCCTGTTTTCTGTTAAATTGTTATGAATTAAAAACAAAAGGTTTGAGATATAGTTCATATTATATAAAGCTTTTATGTGAATATATTACAGTTAGGATTAAAACTATAGTTATGGTAAGACTATATATCTCTGTATGGATGTTATTTGATTTGCATAATCGTCATATGTTGGCTTTTATAATTGCGACATGATTAGCTAAATATCAGCAGTTGGTAGCTGTATTAAAAATTACAGAGGCTAGTTATCAGTCATAAACAGAAGAGAAAAGCTAGCCTGGAAAAACTATTCTGATCTTGTTTGCACTAGGAAATTTCCAGAAACTGAGGTTGTGTTTTTACTAAAGCTGGTTATGTTTAGGTGGTATCTAGGGATCTTATTAAAGACAGTTGTCATGGAAAACATTAAAAGCAAAGGAGTTGTTTACTGCATATCACAAGTATGATTTATTAAGTAAAATTAATTAAACAGGATGTAAATTTTAAAGGATTTTACAATTTAACATTTATTAATTTAAAATCAGGCATTAGATTTAGAAAAGGAGAGGCAAAAACAAAAGCAGTTATGTCTAGTAAGTTTAAAGCATTTTCATATGTAGCTTTCACTGAGGGTAGAACCTGTAACATTTTTTCAAACTGGAAAAAATAATTTATAATCAATAATTTATTTTAAATAAAGAATGATTGAATAAAATTAATTATAGTTATATAAATTATGTCTGTGAAAAGACAAAAGCCATGTTTATAGATTTATTTTTGTTTTATCAAAAATTAAATATTATCTTAATATGAGAGTGTATATTTTTTAAAGAATGCTTGTATTTTGCTAGTGGAAAGCATTTTTTTAAACAAATGAATTAGCCATTGCTTTTCCTGTCATTTGGGTAAGACCTATTTTAACACTTAACATTCCTAGCCCACATCCCCACTTATTTTCCAATTTATCCTGCTTATAAAGTTGCATGATCATTTATAAAGATTTCTGAGGTTGCTATAATGCCTTTTCTTTTGAATAAATTAGTTGACTGCCAGAAATGTAAGAAAGTAAAAAAAAAAAATTCCTTTCTAAAAGCACTTGGGTACTTAACTTTTTTTCTTCCTTATGTTTTTTTTAGGTTTGTTTATTTATTTTGAGAGAGACAGAGAGAGAGAGAGAGAGAACGAACAAGCGGGTGAGGGGCAGAGAGAAGGAGAGACAGAATCCCAAAGCAGGTTTCACGCCCTCAGCACAGAGCCCAATGTGGGGCTCGAACTCATGAACTGTGAGATCATGACCCGAGCCAAGATCAAGAGTCAGATGCCTAACCGACTGAGCCACCCAGGCTTCCCTATGTTTAAAACAAGTTTATAACTTCTCAGTTAACGTCTGTCTTGTTTATGATTAAAATCTTATGTGGGTAGAATAAGAGAAAGAATTCTCAGAAAAACTATAGTGTAACACAGAATGATTACTCTTCAGTTTTAAATGGGACTGTATGGATCTTTAATAAATATCAGATTATTGTTAATTTGTACCGTTGTTCTGATTCACATATGAAACCAAAAACAGTTATGAGTGTGGCCTCATTGGCTGAATTGCCAGTGCTCTCTTTCACCTGCCCTTGCATGCTTCCTCAATATGTACATTCTTTGGCCAGTCTCTGCCACCAATCAGGCTTTGGTCTAAAGGCCTCAGTTGGTAGTCTATGCAGGAAACTAACTGAATGTTATTTCTTCAGAATTTCATTTAATCTGTCAGGGGGATTGCGTTTGGGTGGTGTTCCCTCAGCCCTTTCCCTTTCTGCCCTTCCTTTGAATTTAAGGGAGGCAGTTTCCCTTGCACAGACTACTTCTCCTTTTTGTAAGTCCCTTCCCCCTAGTATAATGATATTGTAATGATGGCTGATAAACATGAATCGTCCTGACAGAACCAAGAACTAGCGTCTTCAGTGTTCTAAATCCCACAGAGAATATCTAAGAATCTCTAGACATCCCCTTTACTTTTGGCTATCCTTAAAACTAATTTTCTAAGGGGTACCTGGCTGGCTCAGTCGGAAGAGCATGTGGTTCTTGATCGCCAGGTCGTGAATTCGAGCCCCACGTTGGGCGCAGAGAATACTAAAGAAATAAGTAAATAAACTTAAAAAAAAAAACAACCCTGCTTTTTCTGAAATGTTGGCGTTAGGATAAAATCTTTATTTTTGTGTATAATAATGTTTGTTAGGTTTTCCTCCACATTGTAAATGTAATGGTTTTCAACGTTAGTATAGAATTTACAGGATTTTGTGGGGTTAGCCTTGGTAATCTTACACTACCGCTTCTTGTTTCTCTGGCTAAAATACGATAGACTTTCCTAACCACTTCAATGGGTATTTAAAAACATGTGAATTGAGGACTGTCTTCGCTATTTTGTGGATGACATTGTGATTGTTTTATGTCACTTGATGTCAGCAAAATGACCTGGGCTATATGTTCTCTAATCTCCTTCTCTGAATAAGATTAGTATTCCCTCAGCCCCTAATGAACCCATATTCTTCTGGGAATTTAGTTTATGATGCTCAACTTGTCCTTCTAAGAGTGACCGCTTTTTTGTTTTTTAAGTTATCTGAATAACTTTTTTTATTTTGAATTTTTTAGAAGATTTTTTTATTAAAAATTTTTTTTCTTAACATTTATTTATTTATTTTTTTTAATTTTTTTTTTTTCAACGTTTATTTATTTTGGGGACAGAGAGAGACAGAGCATGAACGGGGGAGGGGCAGAGAGAGAGGGAGACACAGAATCGGAAACCGGCTCCAGGCTCTGAGCCATCAGCCCAGAGCCCGACGCGGGGCTCGAACTCACAGACCGCGAGATCGTGACCTGGCTGAAGTCGGACGCTTAACCGACTGCGCCACCCAGGCGCCCCAACATTTATTTATTTTTGAGAGACTGAGAGAGACAGCGTGAGCAGGGGAGGGGCAGAGGGAGAGGGAGACAGAATCCCAAGCCAGGCTTCAGGCTCCAAGCTGTCAGCACAGAGCCCTATGAGGGGCTTGAACCCATGAACTATGAGATCATGACCTGAGCCTAGGTCAGACACTTAACCGACTGAGCCACCCAGATTTTATTTTTAAGTAATCTCTACACCCATCGTGGGGCATGAACTCACAACCCCAAGATCAAGAGTTGCATGCTCCACCAGCTGAGCCAACTGGGTGCCCCTGCCTGTACCTTTTTTTTTTTTTTTTTTT